GTTATTACTATTTTCATTATTATTTACCTATTTATCTATCTCTGTCGTCATCATTTGAATGGTTTCTTAAAAAGCTAGGTCGACATACATATTTATGTCATCTCCACCAATTATCGTGGCACTTTGATATAGAAAACGTGCTGGTGTCTGTGAAAATACATGGTGAAATGGTATGGGTTTAACGCCCCTATCAACACTACTAGGTTATTTAAGAGGCGGGGCCTCCTAGTTGAAGTTTCTCATCTTCCTATATTAGGAATGACTTACTAGTATTTTTTTCTTTTTTAAAATTTCTTTTCTTTTCTTTTTTTTTTTTTGTTGTTGCGTGGCCTATCGTATTACATTAACGGATTCTTGGTGATTTCGAGTAATACTTAGACTGTTAGGATGTTTTGCAAAGTCATGTCAAAGGGACGGATCTATTCAGACACACGAGCCCGCAAAATAATACACTTACTCAGACTCGTAGGAATAACTAAATGTACACATATTCATGAAATTTAACATGAATTCACACATGTATAGACGTGCACGCACGCATGTGCGCGTGTGCACATACACACACACACACACACACACACACACACACACACACACACACACACACACACACACACACACACACACACACACACACACAACCGCAAACACTTAGGACACGCAAGGTAATCCACGGAAAGAACTCCAGTTGCAAATGATTTTTTATGTACCGCAGCCTATTATGATACTAGCTGAGCTCCCCACGAGACCGTGTTTACTAACACTGAGCTGTCCACGTGACCATGTTTACTAACTGTGCTTACCACATGACCGTGTTTACTAAATGAGCTGACCACGTGACCGTGTTTACTAAATGAGCTGACCACGTGTTCGTGTTTACTACCTGAGCTTACCACGTGAACGTGTTTACTGAGCTTACCACGCGGCCATGTTTACTAACTCTGCTTACCACGTAACCATGTTTAGCAACTGAGCTTACCATGTGACTGCGTTTATCAAGTGTTTTACGGTACTTGCAACACGTAATGATATGTCGTTTAAGCTCCGAATATTAGAGGTATTGCTTTTTAAAAAATCCCTTGCCCATTTATATGAGATTGACGCCATCTGATTAGTAGAAAAAGGTACGTATTATGATAGTGTCCAATAATGTATTGCGTGCACACTAACTATGACAAGTAGCAGTTACAGAGAGAGATTCAAGGATTGTGGATGTAATTCATTGATCTGAGAGCAATGTTGATTTTAGAAATAATGGCGATGATGGGTGATGATGTGAAATTGCGTTCAATTAAGTAAAGTTAGCGTTAGTCCTATCTTCCTCTGCTCCAATGAGTCACGAGGGACGTGGGCACCCTCTATCCCGTTCTTCACTGGAACCATCTCTAAATGTCACCGTGAAGTTCCTAAATGGAGGACACAGTCTCTGTTAAGGTGACTTTGTTAGTGTTAGCCTATTCTATGGGGCCAAGACAAGTGTCGAGATGAGCTAAGTAGGAAGACAGTACAGTAGCAGGTATTATATTGGGGTATTCGTAAGAGGTCTGTTAAAAACTGACGTTCAAACAAAAGAAAAAGGAAAGATAAGAACGCAACACATTAAAATTTGCTCGGAGGAAAAGAATAGAAAAAACCCCTGTAGTGCATCCATCAACCAAGATCAATGACCATGATTAATTTAACAGTGGAGTTGATCACGTGACCGTGTTACCAGCTGAGCTCATCACGTGATCGTGTTTCAGACGAGCTGATCGAGAGAGGTCACGAGCTGAACTGCCGGATTGGCTACAACGCCCTGGAGAGGAAGCTGGAGGAGACGTTTACCAGTACGGAGAAATATACCACCATGGAGAGTGCCAGGTGCTTTAAAGGTGCTGCTCTGTCTGTCTGTCTGTCTGTCTGTCTGTCTGTCTGTCTGTCTGTCTGTCTGTCTGTTTGTCTGTCTATCTGTTTGTCTGTCTGTCTGTGTCTCTCTCTCACTCTCTTACCGAGATGGAGAAATGTACCACTATGGAGAGTGCTAGTTGCTTTAAAGTTACTGTCTGTCTGTCTGTCTGTCTGTCTGTCTGTCTGTCTGTCTGTCTGTCTGTCTGTCTGTCTGTCTGTCTGTCTCTCTCTCT